TCCCAATTTTCGTATTTTTGGACAAAATGTCCCTATTTTTATTTTTAAAATTTTATTTAACCCGCATTCTTTATTTTTAACTTTTTATTTTAATTTACAAGCTTGAGAGAATGCCTATTTATTTCCCCTAATTTTTTTACCTTCATTTACATTTATTGCATAAAAACAAGGTAAAAATGCGCGTAGGTAAGCACATAAATTATATAAAAATAAAAAAAAATATTTTTAACCCCCCTTTTACAACCATCATCATCTACTAATGGAATTCCCTTCCATTTTTGGAGACATCATTCATCTCTCTACTTTTGCTTATGGGGACGATGATGAAGAGGGGAAAGAGGGGGTTAAGGGGGGAAGATTGGGGTGGTAATGCAAAAATGGGGTGGTGATGATGGTCATTTTCTCTTCCAAAAACATGTATTTTTATTTTAAAATTGTGTCTATTGTATCAATTAATGGTCCAAAATGACTTTTTAACTTTCACAAAATTTTTAAAAATTTTAAAACTTAAAAATACCCTTAGGCTATATTTTAGTGTCCTCGCTAGGTAAATTGTCTATAACTCGACAACTACTAACCCTCTATTTATAAAATTTTATATCATTCGATAGAGGAGAGTATTAGCTACAAAATAGAGCTTAAACTAGAAATTTTAAATCAGATAACAAAAAAGTTGTGGTTAGAAAACTTTCTATATGTCGATTTTTTGATCGAATAAGGCTAGGTTTTTGACCATAACTTTTTTCTCAGTTAGTTAAATTTCTTAGTTTTTTGCCATTTTGTAGCAAATTTTCTCCTCTATCGAATGATACCAAAATCATCCAAATCGGTTTACAAATTCAAAAGTTATGGGTAAAAAACTTTTTATAAGTCGACATTTTCATCGAATAAAGCTAGGTTTTTTGACCATAACTTTTTTCTCAGTTAGTTAAATTTCTTAATTTTTTGTCATTTTGTAGCAAATTTTTTCCTCTATCGAATGTTACCAAAATCATCCAAAAATGTTTACAAATTCAGAAGTTGTGGTTAGAAAACTTTCTATATGTCGATTTTTTGATAGAATAAAGCTAGCTTTTTTGACCATAAGTTATTTCTCTGTTCATTAAATTTTTAAATTTTTTTCCATTTTGTAGCTAATTTTCTTCTCTATCGAATGATACTAAAATTATCCAAAACCGTTTATTTACCCAAAAGTTATGTTAGTTGACGTTCGGTCAGTTCACCTGTCTAGGAGTGTGTTCCTTCCCAACTTAATTTTCTAAAACTTTTTTTAAACTAATTTTTAAAAAATAAATTTCCAACTTGAATTACAACTTGACCATCCCTCTACTATTTTATTTTAATTTATTTTTAATTGCAAACCCCAAAAAATTTTCATTAAATAACCCAAAATTACCTGAAAACCATTTATTTTTATTTTATTGTCTTTTCCGGTCATGACCTTTAAAAATAAAAATTAATTTTTATTTTATTTTTGTTTCTTTTATAAAAATGTGAATAGTCAATCCCCTGCTGTTCATCCCTATTATTTTTTTAAATAATAATATTCCCCTTATTTTTTGGACATTTTCATTGTTCTTCTTTCCAGTGCCTTCTGTTTCTAAAAACAAAAGAAAATCCCTAACAATAATTTTTCTTCTTCTGTTCGAGAGTGCAAATTGGGGTATTGAACGAATAAATAGTAGATAGATATACACCCGTCACGGTTGCGCGCCCTCGCCCACAGAGTTCTCGTGTTTCTTGTATTTCTATTGTATTTGTTTAAGGGGTGATTAGAGTCTGAGAACTTACGTCTATCTTCATTAATCTTTATTGAAGATAAAGCTCGATCAGATAAAAATAACTCCCTCAACACACATCTTTTCCCTAATCTTTTCACTCCCCCCCCCCTCCCTCCCTCCCTCTATCCCTCCCCCCCCCCCAATTTCACCGGATATTGCTCTCCAGTTTTATCCTTCCTTTATACATTACCCCTATTTCCTTACAAGGGTAAGTTATAGCCCAGAAAATTTCGAGTTTGATACCCTTGCTTTTCGAACGTCTCAGTCCTATCTTCTCCCGATCTCCTATCTCTTGATAATGCGGTCGTCCTATCTCTAATAATGCTCGGTCTAATCGACCTCATCTCTTGATAATTCACCACGTCGGCACGAGAAGACAACGTCATATTAACTAGGGTAGTTATCAAGGAGACGTGTTATCGAGATTTGCTGTAACCGGAGTCGAGTCTACAGGTTCTACCCATTTTTAATTCCCAGACTTTAATGTCTTTCTTGTAGGTTGTCCACCCCCCCCCCCTCCCCTCCATCCCTTCCTTTTTTGCCAAAAACCACCAAAAATGGTTATCCCCCTCCCTTCTACCTTTTTTATTGTGTTCATTTTCTCCATTCATTTTCTCCAAAAAATGACAAGTGTGAGAAAACTTTAGAAAAAACTTGGAGGTTTTAGCACTAAAATAAACAATGGAAAAATAAAAAAAAATAGTTTTTTCTTCTCCCTTCCACAAATTTTTCTTTATTCTTAAACATTCGCGCGAATAATGTTGTGTGCCTGTTTCTTTTGTTTTGTGACCGGAAATTAATTAATTAAACTTTAAATTGTTAATTAATGCTAATTTTATTTTATTTTAAAATGTCAACTTTTCAAAATGTCATTGTTTATTTTGGCAACTTTTCAAAATGTCAACTTTCTATAATGTCACTGTTTATTTTGGTAAAATTCCGTCATACTCCGATTCGGAAGGGTCATTCGCTAGAGCTCTCCTAGCTGAATTTGAATGACACCAAAATTTAGCTTGATGCTCAACTATGGGCTCAAAAATCAGCTTGGTCCCCCCTATAGTTTTTTGATATTCGAGGACCTATATTTTGGGCCATATTTTAGTCCTTAACTTAATTTTGGTTCATTCTACATACTTATTCAGCTGGTATCATTTGACCAAGCTCGAAGAGCCTTCCGAATGTTATGTAATAAATTATATCAGGGTGACCCTTTTACCCTATTTATAGGGCATTTGCCCTATTTTTGACCTTTTCGCCCTATTTCTTCCCTATTTTTTCATTTGCCATATTTTTGCCCTATTTTTACTATTTTGAAAAATGTTTACGATTCTTAGCATTTCGTACCGAAACTGATAGAAAAAGGAAGAAATCTGACCGTTGACTCCCATAATTTTCAAAAATTTTCGTGTGCGGCGCAGGAAAAAGAAAGAAATCTGCTGACTGGTCTTCCAAAATTCTCAAAATTTTCGCCTGCGGCGCAAGAAAAGAAAGAATCTGGCTTATTGACCAGCCAAAATTTCAAAAATTTTTCTTGCGGCGCTGAAAAATGAATACCGACTGTTTATGATTAGGGTGGCCAAAATATGCACGAAAAACGCCAAATATGCACATATAGTATATGCACTAAAAACCCCTAAATATGTTTGTAAAAATTTTACCCAAAAAATTTTTCGAAAACTTTTTTTGAAAAAATTTTTGCCCATTTTAATTGTTTAGAATCAATACTGATCACTATTGCTCAATTTATTTAAAACTAGTGAAAATATGCAGAATATTGCTTTTTATCTGAAATAAGAATTTCTAAGTTGTTAAAATCATGCCCTATTTTTTGCCCTATTTTCGACCAATTTCGCCCTATTTTTGCCATATTTTTGAATGGCTGCGCCCTATTTTGGTAGTTTGGAAAGGGTCACCCTGAATTATATATCAAACAAAAAATGCTCAAAATGGTCAGGGAAATGGGAAAAAGGGGGCGACTTTGAAACTATTATCCATACTATTATCCGGATCGAAGTCAGAACTTATGACTGAATTTCCTTTGTTTTATTTCAATGTCAACTTTCAAAAAAATTCAAAAAAAAATTAAAAAAAAAATTTTTTTTAACCCTAAGAATTTCTATCAATCCCCTTTCCTCTCTAAAAAGCCACCTTTTCACTTCATAAAGTGCCAACACTTTTGCACACCTTTTTGGTTTTTACGGTCATTGTTTACCCATTTTTCTTTTAAAATTGTTTCTTTTTTTAAGTGTTTTTAAAAGTATTTTTTTTTGCTAAAAATATTTTTTTAGCAAAATCAAAAATAAAATTTAAAAAATATAGAACACATTTATGTACTCTTCCTCTCTTTCCTTCCAAAAAACCTTTAAAAAATAATAAGCGCGCGTGTATATAAATTAGGTAGTTTCTTCATTTTTTCTCAAAAAATATATAAACTTAACGACCTACATATTTTTTTAAGTTATGTTCTAGAATTATATTTATATAGTAGAGATCGGCCTGGGTCCTGGATTTTTCCTGGAGGATCCGGCCCAGGTCAATAAATCAAGCATCGAACCCAGGAACAGGGCCAGGCTTTTCAAAAATTCCGATCTCTATTATATAGTACCCTTAATGGATTCTTTATCTATTCAAGAAAACCCTTAAATTGTGAGATAGGACAGAAGTTCTTTTAAATCTCTCACTAACAGGACAGATTCTCTCAAAGTTTTCGTCGATCTGATCCTTCCAGCACCGAACCTCGCTATTCTAAACAGTCGAACCTCGCTATAGGAAACACTTTAGGTATTGCTTCTATAGGACAAAATAAATCTATCGGTCTGTAACTTTAGACTAGGGTTAGAGGGTCCTGGGAAATCACTGGGTAATAGAGCTCGAGATTTTTAAAAAGCCTGTGCCAATTTCTGGACTCGGTATTATTTATTGATCTGGGCCTGTAGTCCAGAAAAACCTAGGAAGGTCAAAAAATGCCTGGGCCTGGACTTTGGGTACAGGAAAAACCCAGGCCTTGGTCCAGACCCACCCGATCTGTACTGGATATACGAATCCGTTATTTAACCCAAAATTTCCTGATATCTGGATCTTCCCCGCTCAATCAACAACACTCATTTTTGTAAAACTTACCTAAATTGAAGGGTACCCAATTTTAGGGGTACAAACTTTTCTTAAGGATATTTTTTATATTTTTAAAAATTTTTTATGCCAAAAATTGATTCAAAAACCTTTTTTTCTTCTTTTACTCCTCAACACCCTTCCCTAGGGATTATATACACCCTCCCCTCCCTCCTCATATACTGACCGACATTGAATTGTGTGCAGCCGAAATTGAAGGATTGAAAAAAGGGCAAAGTATTAAAAGGACAGCGCCGGCAAAATTTTTCGGCCTGCTGTGGGGGGAGGGGAGGGGGGGGGTTGTTGGTCTTCACGGGCAAAAATGGTTTTGGTTATTTAAAAGGGTATTTTTGGGGGGTTTTTAGTTTGTTGAATTTTATTTATTATTGGTATTTTGATTAATGAGACTGGGGTTATACCCCGAATCCTGAGGGCACGTTTTTCGGGAAGCGTTGGAGTATGACTGACAATAAATTGTGAATGTTATTCTGTCAGTCATCCTCCAACGCTCCCCGAAAAACTTGCCCTCAGGATTCGGGGTACAACCCTAAATAAGACATTTGGTCCCACGTTCAAGAAAAATTTTGGAAGAAAGAAATTCTTTCCCTTAGTAATTCAAGTTCTAAATATCCTCCAAAGTTTTCTAAAAATCCCCTAAAGATATAAACCCCTCTAAAACCCTCTAAACCCCCCATAAAAAAATCTAAAACAAGAAGCGAGACATTTGATCCCAAAATTTTTTTAAGTCTCAAAAAATTTAAACTCTCAAAGAATATTTTTTAATATTAGAAAAATTCCTCAATAATTCCATCAAAAAATTTTTCCTCCCTCAAAACCCCTCAAAGCCCCCATAAAAATCCATTTTTTGGCATTCAAAATATTTTTGGCATTATGTATATTTATTTTTTATTAAAAAATCTTAGCTGTTTCCTCCAAATCATCTTTTTTCTTTTATTTTTTTTATTTTCTCACTTTCCAGTCATCCTCTTCTTTTCTTTTCTTCAAAAGCTTCTTCCACCCTTCCCCTCTTTTATTTTTAACTAAATCGCCAATTCCCGCCCCTTTTCCCCTTTTTATTTATTTTTATGAATTGACCCTCCCCCCTCCCCTCCCTTTTTTTTCTTCTTTTATTTTTCCTCAGTCAGTCCAACGGTTCTCTTCCCTCATTTAACCCTTTAAAACCTCCAAAAATGTCGCCAAGTCCTTTACCCTTTCCTCAAAAATTTTTTCCCTCCAAAGACAATTCGTCCCACCTCTAAAAATAATAAACCAGGCTGGCGCCCTCCCTTCATTTTTAAAAATATTTATTAGCTTTAAAAGTCTGTTGACACCTTTCTTTTAATATTTCCTTCTCTTGTACTAGTTGAAAATAGAGATTTATTTTTTTTATTTTTCTGTGATTTGTGTGGGATGTCTTTGGAATTTTTTTTAAATTTTAATTCCTTGATTTTTAAATATGTGCTTCTTTCCTCCCTGTTCATCCCATCTTCACTTTCATCTTCCTTCTCTTCTTCACCTTATTCTGCATATTTTGTCTTCTCCTTCCTTCCCCTTCCCTTTTCTTCTTCACCTTCCATCTCTTCATCCTCTTTTATTCATCCTCACTTTCCTTTTCTTCTTCCTTTTCTTATTCGTATTCTCCATTCTCTTCTTCATCTTCTCCTTTCTTCTCTTCATTTTCTTCCTTCTTTTCCTCGTCCTCTTCCTCCTATCCTTCCCTCTTCTTCATCCTCTTATCTTTTAGTCATCATCAGCTTCCTTTCCTCTTCCTTCTCTTCTTCATCCTCTTTTCTTCTCTTCCTCTTCCTTTTCTTCTCCTCCTTCTATCTTCCTTTTTCTTCCACACATACCTGTCAGTTTTCACACTCATTTTTTAGGAACTGACAAATGAGTGGGGGAATAAGAGAACTATTAAAGACAGAACAGATTTGAAGAGACTTTCATGGAGAGGAGATCATTTATTCCTCTTTCCTTTCCTCTCATTTGACTAAAAAATAAAGTCCTCCTTTATATCTCCCCCAATTTTCCCCTCATTTCTTTATGTATTTTTATTACTTTTTTTTTCATTCTTTTATCCTTGATCAGAGACACACAATAAATTTATTTTTTAAAAATATTTTTTTAAAAGTACTTTCTTCTATTTTTGTGATCATTCCTTGATTAGAAAAGCTGTAATAAAAATAAAAATATTTTTCTTCTCTATTTTATTACTCCCATTACTAAATAATAAAAACTTTGCTTAATAAGTCCCCCCATTTTTTCTCACATAACACAATTTGAGGTGATCCAGAAGATCGCCTTAAGATCACTTGAATGAATGGGAATATTGCAGTTTGGTTTTTAAATTTAATAGACTAATTAAAGGGTGATTAGAGAGTCTGATAATTTTCTGAGACCTTTGGATTAGAGATCGGCACGGGACCGATCCCGCACTTGATTTTACCGTATCACGACCCTAAATCCCGGATTTTGAGCTAAAAACGGGATTACCGGGATCCTTGCCTTATAAAATGTTGAAAAAATCCCGTTAAGGGATCACGGGAATGCGATTTTGCCGATCTATACTTTGGACCTCTTAACACTATTGAGTCTAAAGTTGATTTTTAAAAAAGGACCATTAGAGTCTTCCACATTTTTTAATTTTAAATTTTGTTTTCCCAGACTCTAAAGGTATCGATCTTCTGGAACTTTGCTTTCCTTGCCCCAAGCAATGCTTGTTCACACAAATATATATCTTTTTCCCTATCAATAAGTTTTCTAGTCTAGTTTATATTTTATTTTTGTCAACTAAAAATAACTAGGAACTATCATCATCAAGTACACAAACACACACTTTTTGTTACAAATTATTTTTATTTATTTTCCACACCTTTTTTTGATTGGATTATTTAAATATACACAATAACAAAGCTTTAAATTTTTATGAATTAGACCGGCAAAAATGTAACGAGTGGCCTTAATCACAAAATTATTATATTCCAAAAACACTCGAAAACAATTTTAAATTTAATTAAATGCAAAATATTTTTGTTTTGGCGTTGTGTTTATTTTTGGGATTTTTTGTCTCTAAGGGGTAGAGAAGGGAAAATTAAATGTTTGACTATTTTTTTTGATTGAAAATTTTAATTTTATCTGATTAAGATTCTTAAAATCAGTCAGCTTTAATGACTTTATTTCTAAATTTTTCAAGCCTATGGATTTTAGCTAGGACGAGTTATAAATTAATAACCCTCCTTTAACCTTCTTTAACCCCCCCTATCGTGGCTGACTTTCTTATTCGAACACTCGATTTCAGAGTTCAGCCTCAACCTTGATTTTGACTTTTTAAGGTCCAGAAAGGCATTTTTCAGACTTTCCTCATTTTCCTCGATTTGAGGGTGAGAGTCAGAGTGAGTGATTAGAAGAAAATCATCGGACTAATCACCCTCTGATTAGTTAAAATGGGTACACCCCGTTATACCGAGAGTCCAGTATACCCCCGAGCTATAACTCTATTCAAAATTGTCGAATCCGGGAGGCCATGTTATGGTTAGATGCGCCTCAACGAGCTGAATCGAACCATATCAGGGCGTCCCGGATTCGACAATTTTGAACGAAGTTATAGCTCGGCGGTATACTGGCCAGCTCCCGTTAAAATCACCGACTGAATTCAAAATCAAAAATTTTTTTTTACTTTCTTATTTCTACTCGTGTTCAATTTTTAATTCATTTTTTTTCGTTTTAAAAATAATTTTTTCTGTTATTTTCCACAATTTTTCACCAAATTTTCTCCTAATTCCACCGCGCATTTCCCTTTAAAAAAATTTTTTTTTCAGATTTAATTTATTTATTTGATTAATTTAAATGCCCTTAAAAGAGGAAAATATGCTTTAATAAAAAATGGATTTGTCTGCAATGATGCCAATAATTTATTTACGCGGGCTACTTCTTTTATTGCTTTCTTTTTCGACTTTATATTCTACTAGGGCGCTTAAAGGTTTGTTTTGAAATTATTTTTTAAATTTATTTTATAGACTTATTCGTTATTTAAAATTAAGTGTTTAAGTAATTGGTGGTGTTGTGGGTAGTGTCCTTGCCTCCCCTGCAAAGGGTCGTGGGTTCGAACCCCGCTTGGGTTAACTCTTTTTTCCTCTGTCTTTTCTACGTTTTAATATTCTTTTCATGTTAATTCTTTACAAAATAATTTTTTAATTTTTCCTAAGTCTTTTTTCACTCCTTTTTCTTAAAAATCTTAATCCAGGTGGTGTTGTGGGTAATGGCTTTGCCTACCCTGCAAAGGGTTGTGGGTTCGACCCCCGCTTGGGTTAAACTTTATTTTATTCTGTTTTTTCATCTTTTTAATATTTTTTTCAAGTTAATTCTTTTTCAAAAAATTTTTTTTTATTTTTCCCCACTCTTTTTTCACTCCTTTTCACTCCTTTTTCTAAAAATCTTTATCCAGGTGGTGTTGTGGATAGCGTCCTTGCCTTTCTCTTGAAAGGGTCGTGGGTTCGAACCCTGCTTTGGCTAAACTATTATTTCCTCTGTCTTTTCTTCTTTTTAATATTTTTTGAGTTAATTCTTTCATGAAATTTTTTTTTAATTTTTTCTGAGCTTTTTTCACTCCTTCTACCCCTTTTCCTAAAAATATTACCCCATTAAATTCTTATGTCTTTTATTTCTTTGTATTTCTTTTTAAACTTATTCTTCGGCACGCTTTTTTCCAAAAAAATCAAATAAGCAAAATTACACACCTTTTCCTCACTTTTTTTAAATTCTCTAATTTTTGGAGATTATTTAAGGTCAAAAATTTTTCCTCTCTTTGATCTTTTAAAATGTCCGCAAGTTTTGTCCGCAAATTTTTTTCTTAATTTTTTTTAATTTTCTTTCAAATAATCCGTCATTAATAAATTTCTCATTAATAAATCAATCAAATTATTTATTTTTTTTTCTCTCAATTCCTTCACCTCTCCCCTCTCCTCAAAAAAATATTTGTCACCTTTTTGCTCCCCTTTTTAACCTTTCTCTCTCCAAATTTTTATAATATCATCATCCACTCATCTGGTTATTTTCTTTCACCTTTTCTTCTTTTTTTGCATTTTTGGGGTTTTTTGGGGTTTATTTGATTCATTTTTGGCTAATTTTTTGGAAGGAAACTTTTTTAGATTTTTTTTATTTTTCCAAAAAAAAAAGATTTTTTTGCCTTTTTTGGGGGTTTTCTGTCTTTGGTGTTATGCATAAATTATTTTTGTTTTAAATATTTAAGAAGAAAATTAAAAAGGGGGGTTTAAATATTTATTTTAAATAATTTTTTTTATTTTTTTTAAAGTTTATTTATTGGACACACTCAATGCTACTTCTGAATTAAATTGGCGTACTTATTCAAATCAAGATGAAAAGGATGGGGTAAATATTTTTATTTAAATTTATTTTTTGTTAAATTAAATTATTTTTTAATTTATTTTAACGAAGAGAGAATTTCTTCAGAAAAGATTTTTTAAATAATTTCAAAAAAATTTTTTTTGATTCCCTCAACCTATTTTGAGGAGAGTGTTGACCTACCCAATTCTAAAAAATTTTTCCAAAAATTTTTTATTAAAAAATTTATTAAAAAAATTTTTTTTGAGATCATAAAAGTATGTGGTGTTTTTACCCGTCCTCAAAAAAAATTTTTTTTGTTAAATATATTAACTGATTTTTTTTTTATTTTTTTTAATTTTATGGGAAATTAAAAGGTCGGAGAAAATTAATTTTTTTTCTTGTCTCACTTTTCAATGAGGCGTAAAAATCTTAAAAACAAGGGAATAATATTCTCAATTTTTTTATATTAAATATTTTTGTCGTACCGAAAATTATGATTTTTTTGAATTTTTAAAAGCAATTCCAAGTTTTTTTCTAAATATAAACGGGGATACATAACTCTCTATTGTATCGTGCCAATAAAATTTTTTTTGTTTTAATTTTTACGAAAACAAAAATTTTTTTAGGCGAGGGAAGGGGATAGGGTATTTTCAGTAGTAAAATGTTTTTTTGAGATTAAAATTTTTTTGGTAGTTTACAAGTAAGGATATAAAATTCCCTCAATTTTCTAGGATAAGGGAAGCCCTCCAAAATTTAGTTAAAACTCCAAAAAATCATGAAAAATTTTCAAAAAGTGTCTCAAATTTCCTCTAATTTTCTGGGACAATGGATTTTTAAAAATTTTTCAAAAAAAATTTTTTTTTAATTTCTCTAGTGGTTAGAAGAAACAATGTATTCTCGCTCAGAAAACAAAAATCACCAAGTTTATTCAACTTGTAATTACGAAAGTACCCACGATGCCGAAAATTGGTTATTAATCCCATTTGTAGAAAGAGGAGAAGCCCAACGATTTTATTTACATTTTAATTTTACAATTGTGAGGTGTGCGGCTGTTGAAGCTTTGAGAACTAGTGGGTGTAAAGAAACGTTGAAATTATATGCTGCTCAGTTTGATGAGTCTGAAGAGAGGGAATTTGTTAAAAGGAAAAATTGGTTTAATGAAACTAAATGGTTGGTAGTTTAATATAGAAGATACAAGATTAACCCGGTGCAGACCCGGAGCTAAGAGAAATTTTCAGGGGTGGAGGGAAATGCACAAAAAATTCACGTAGGCTAAAAAAATTTTTTTCCTCATCCCCTCCCCCAATTTTTTTTTGTTTTCCCCATTTCGTGGGAGGGTAAAACGAATGGAGAAAAAACCCCCGGCTGTCTACGGTTTTGCCCCTTTGGTCTGAAAAAGTGTTATATGAGAGATATTGCTTAAACAACTCCTAGACCTAGTAGACATGCCTTGAGAGCATTAGCGGCTAAATGTTATCTTTTAATGACTGCTATCTCACTTGGGAGTATCGTTTAGTCAGCTCTTCCATTATGCTGTTTACTCA